CAGAGGTTATTTATATTTGAAGTTAATAGAACAAGTTGCATTGGTCTGAAAAGGTATTGCTAATTTCCTTAATGTTAAAATAGAAACTCATTCAATTCTAGCAATTCAGTGTTGTCATATTTTATCAAAGGATTATCCCTATTTTTAATAAATATTTTAACTTTAAAACACAGTTTGCATAATAATACATTAGGAATAATATAATCGAGGCACTAGAATTGCATAGAAACAACCCAACCACAGGTTATATCAGGTATAATGCTCTGAAGCTTCAGTTAACATACATAATAAGCACTGTAACCCTCATTAAGTAAATGTACCACAGGAGACATTATTTTTGTGTATGTAATTGGGGAAATAATAGCAAACAAAAGACTATGAAATTGAAGAACAAAGAAAAGAAATTTCACATTATATTCTTTAAAGACTTCTTTAGGCATAAACAGGGTAACTTTGAAATGTTATGTTTCTCTAGACTTAAAAATAGAACAGAAAGAAGAATATGTTACATTTGCACAAGAATAAAAAGTTATTCCGAAATGTCATCTTGCAAGATCAGAGTTCTATGTGGTATGTGGAAGGGGCAATGTTCTGAAAATCCACTGGGAGAAGCAAATTCATAAATATTAATAAATGGAAGCATCATTATAGATAATAAAATACGAAGCAGCATGTGAATTTGAATGGTTTTTATTGTCACAATATGTGGTTGATGTTTGGGTAAGGTAATCTATTTATGAACTGGATGCATGCATATTTATTTATACAGTTCATAATCTGGAAACTTCATTCTTGAACTTTTCTGAAACTTGCAAAATCACAAGTTCTGAAACCTATGTTAATCTGCAAGATCCTCACCATTTCTCACCTAGGTTTTGCATTGATTTCTTCATAGGGACCTGATTCTTATCTTAATCCCTCTAAACCTTCTTTCATATTTCTGCTTGAAAGATCTCTCTACAGTACTGTATGGTTATGTCACATCTGCTCACAACATTACAAAAGACTCCCCATTATATAAGAACTACATTAAACTACTTTTGTGGTGTTCAATATCCTTAAAAATCTAGCAGTTACAACTATCATTTTTTCTTTCACCTTTACAAATATCATTTTTCAACAAGATCAAGGTATTTGTGAATCCTCTACATGGATGCTCTCACATATCTCCACATCCTTGCCCCTGCAATTTCTATATTATTATAATTTAATAGATATATCTCTAGGAATGCCATTCTCAAGCTTCTGTGGCTTGACAAGTTCCTAACCATCCTCCATGATTCACTTGTCAACTTTACAAGCCTTTTCTGGATCACCAAGTAAACTCACACAGGAAGGTAAGCACATCTTTGGGCTTCTATTTCATTTTGCACACACATTCCTCATAGTCCTTATTACACTGCACCTTGATTTGGAATCCTTTGCTTATAGATCTGTCCCTCTATAAGCTCCCTGAGGACAATGACAATATTTCCTCATCTCTATACCCTCAATAATTACACAGTGCTTGGCACAAAGTAAGTATTCAATTTATATTTGTTAAATAGAAAGATCTCCTTTAATGTGCCTGTTGATCAGTAATTCATTTTCCCCTACTAATCAATGGTCATAAAGTTTCAGTTAAGCAAGATAAATAAGTTCTAGATATCTGCTATACAACATTGTACCTATGGGCAACAATGTTGTATTATACACTTAAAATTTTGTTAAGAAGATAGATCTCATGCGAAGTGTTCTTACCACAATAAAAATAAAAAGTTGAGATATTCAATGAGCTACCTGACTGGCTAAACCAGCAATCAGAAATACTGATTAGTTACAAGAAGGCAAGCAGTAAGACTTATAGAACTAGATGGTGCCTTGGAGGTTACTGATTCAATTCTTCCCTTACCCCCAGCATCCTGGACAGATGGATGGAGGGATAGACACACACACACACACACACACACACACACACACACACACACACTCTATACATTCCAGAATAGGTAAAATAAAATCTGTCCAGAACCAGAACCCATATTTCTTGACAGCATTCTGTCTTTCTTTTTTTTTTTTTTTTTTTAATGTTTTATTTATTTCTAGGAGAGAGAGAGAGCGTGAGCAGGGGAGGGTCAGAGAGAGAGGGAGTCACAGACTGAAACAGGCTCCAGGCTCTGAGCTGGCAGTCAGCACAGAGCCTGATGCGGGGCTCGAACCCACGAACCGCGAGATCATGACCTAAACGAAAGTCGGACGCTTAACCGACTAAGCCACCCAGGCGCCCCTGACAGCATTCTGTCTTTCAAAAGGTGAAAATCTCCAATAATTTCTCAGATCATTTCCCTTCTTTCCATTTCTTCTGGTAGCACATTCTTTTTTTTTTTTTTTTAATTTTTAATGTTTATTTATTTTTGAGAGAGAGAGACAGAATGTGAGTGGGGGAGGGGAAGAGAGAGGAAGATACAGAATCCGAAGCAGGCTCCAGGCTCTGAGCTGTCAGCACAGAGCTCAACACGGGGCTTGAACTCATGAGCTGTGAGATCATGACCTGAACTGAAGTCAACTGTTCAACCAACTGAGCCACCCAGGTGCCCCTCTGGCAACACATTCTTGAAACCTTTTGCCTACTGACAGGTGTCTCCCATCCTAGCTTATCCTAAGATTGCTGGAAGATTTGTAAAGCATGATTTTGATGTTTTCCCTCCCCTGCTCAAAAATCTTCAGTGTCTTCTTCCTCTTTCTTTTTTTTAATGTTTTATTTATTTTTGAGGTGGGATGGGAAAGAGAGAGAGAGAGAGAGAGAGAGAGAGAGAGCGAGCGCATGAGCAGTGGAGGGGCAGAAAGAGAGGCAGACACAGAATCTGAAGTAGGCTCCAGGCTCTGAGCTTTCAACACAAAGCCCAATGTGGGGCTCAAACATACAAACTATGAGACATGAGCTGAAGTCAGATGCTTAACCAGCTGAGCCATCCAGGCTCCCCAGTGTCTCTCTACTTCTTATAAAATAAAGAATAAAACGTTTAGCCCCGCATTCAAGGCCCTCAACCATTTGGCTCTTTAAAAAAAAAATTCTATTTCCCTGTAATGTAACACTTAATCTATAAACTCAACTATTCATTCTTCTTTGAGTGCATAAGCTAGGCTTTCTTGCCTCAATCGTTTGCTTGGGCTGGTCCTTCTTTCTTGTACCTCCACCATGAATATCCACATCTAATATCACTCAAGGCCCAGCTTGCCAGCAAAATCTTCCAGAGCCCTACCAACCAGAAGTCACCTCTCTCTCAGTTCTCTTCCACATTTTATTATAACTATCTATGTAAGGTTCATGTCTTCCTACTACACTGTAAGCTTTCTAGGAGAAGGAACATACCGGATTCCTTTCTTCACTGCCTCCATAGTTATCTGCCCGTAAGTACATGTTAAACTAGTAAATCAATGATCTATACAAATAAAGCATCTTTTTAAAATGTATATATAATTTTTATTTTTTTTAATGTTTTTTATTTATTTCTAGGAGAGAGAGAGACAGCATGAGCAGCGGAGGGTCAGAGAGAGGGAGTCACAGACTGAAACAGGCTCCAGGCTCCGAGCTGGCAGTCAGCACAGAGCTCGACGCGGGGCTCAAACCCACAAACCGCGAGATCATGACCTAAGCGAAAGTCGGACGCTTAACCGACTAAGCCACCCAGGTTCCCCTAAAATGTATATTCTTTAAATCTATCAATAATGATTATACTTTCAGTGTTTAAGAAGAGAGAATACAATGATATGGGATGGCTGCTTTTAAAAAATAATTTCCAATTTTTAATTATTTTTCTTATATCACAAATGCAGAACTTCCTAAAAACTTTCCTTCCAACTGCTGTTATAAAATACTGATTTTTATAAGTACTTAAACTTTTGTTCTAGTCATTCATAGAAGGATAATACTTTGGGAAGAAAGGATCTTGAGAATCATTTCTTCTCATTCATCCCTCCCCTCCCAACCACATAGAAAGTATCACAGGAAAACAAAAACTTATCCTATTTTAAGACTCTTCTAAGATAAACTGCACATAATTCCAGGAAACTTATTCCAATGTTGCTTAACCCTTTCTGTCACAGTATTCCTCCATAGTAAGTTCAACTCATACTATTATTTATTTTACCTCTTGAGAGGCAATGTAGCATAGTGATTTAGACACACAGCTTCTGAAGTCAGACTTCCTGTCTGTCTCTGGGAAAGTTATTAACCACTCTCTGTGTCAGTTGTCTTATCAATAAATTTTGAATAATAATGGTACTTATTTCATAAGACTGCAAGATTTTGATGAAATCATATAAGTATTTAGAACAGTGTCTAAAACCTAGTAAATGATATATAAATGTTGCTATTAATAATTGTTTTTATTTTGCTTTGAATAGAGATGGATAATAGCTTGAGCCACAGTAGTTCATACATGAAGATTTTGAACAAGTGAATCTTTTTTTCAACTGAATAATTCCAGCTCCTTTATGCTGTTTTCTTTATCTGACTAATTTTCCAAACTTTAAAAAATTCCTCCTTTGGCCCTTAATCTTAGTATAGCGCAGGGTATTTTTAGTATTTTGCTACTACAAAGACACTTGAAGGAACCCTCTAAAAGCCTTATCTGGGGCTCCTGGGTGGCTTGATCAGTTAAGGGTAAGATTTTATCTCAGACTTCAGCTCAGGTCAGGATCTCACAGTTTGTGAGTTTCAGCCCCACATCAGGTTCTGTGCTGACATCTCAGAGCCTGAAGCCTTCTTCAGATTCTGTGACTCCTTTTCTCTCTGCCCCTCCCCCACTCACATTCTGTCTGTCTCTTTATCTCTCAAAAATAAATACACATTAAAAAAATAAATAAAAGCCTCATCTATTTAACACATACCTTTTTAGAGCCATTCACCATATTAGCCACAATGGGAACGTAACTTTGCATAAGATAGGCAAGAAGCCTGCCTTCATGGAATGCTTCCTTACAGGAGCAAACTCTTTACCATTAACCAAATCACATACCACTCCTCCGAATTCTTTCTTCCAATAGGTCAGCATGTCCAGCTGGAAGTTTCTTATTGATAATCTCAGCTGAACGGAGGAACATAGCTTCAACCGCAGACCCTTTCAGCAAAGCAATCTGATCTTCATGGTCCAAAGTCTGAAATCCTGGATGAAGATGATAGTCAAATCAAGTATCAAGGAACTGTGAGTGCTATATAACAATATTTCATCATCGCTACCATCCTCATTGATAAAGCATTTCCATAAGTGATTTAAAAATTGTTTTAAGATTGTGTAGTCAAGTTGAGTCACTAAATATCTATTTTTCTGTTCCAAATAGAAGCTGACTTTTATCTTATTGAGTAGGATTTATTGAACAAGTTGGGTAAAAAAGGACATCAGATCCACACCAAAAATACATATAATGGCAGAACAGGCTGATTCAGATGAAGTAACTCAGAGGTTAGAAGCAAAAAGATTTTCTTTGAGCCATTATATTAGTCACATCTGGTGACACAGGGCCAATTCTGCAGAATGGAAGCATCCACAGACCAGAAAAAAATCTTTACATGTATCCAGCCATGGAAAGGAATTGACAGCCTGAAGGAATATAACACTACTTGGAAAATCCAAAGTCCTTATCCTGGTTTATATGTCACAGTCTCCAGCAGCCTCTCTGACATCATTTCCTCCTCTTTCTTCCTCTCACTCACTGTGCTCCAGCCACATTGACTCATGGCTCTTCTGTGAACATACAAACTTTTTTGCCTCAGCTATCACCATGCTTTACTCCCCCCACTATATGCAGAGACCCTATATTTGTGGTGACCCTACTAAAATAATACGCTCCAGGATTCACTAGTCCCTACTTGCTTTATTTTTTTTTTAGTGTTTATTTATTTATTTTAGAGAGAGAGAGAGAGAGTGAGCAGAGGAGGGGTGAGAGAGAAGGAGACAGAGAATCTGCAAAAGACTCCACACTGTTAGCACAGAGCCTGACACAGGGCTTTAAACTCATGGACCTGAGCTTAGGTCAGACACTTAACCTACTGAGCCACCCATGAACCCCTAGTTGATTTATTTTTACTTATAGAATTTATCACTACCAGACATAATAAACTTATCTGCACACTTATTAATCATTTGCCACCTCAAATAGAGTATAAACTTCTTGAGGGCAGAGACTTTGCCTGTTTTGTTCACCTTTGTATCCCCAGTGCCTAGCAGATAATTGATATCCAAGAAACAATTTTTGAATAATTGGATAACTGAATAAATGGGAAACAAACATAAGCTCCTATGCACATGTATACATACACATAATACACATATAAACTAATACCATCAGGGTCCACATGCTTAGAAAAGTATTAAATAGCAATGGGAGTTTAGAGAAGAGAGTAATGCTAAGGTTAAGAATCACTATCTTAGGAGTGCCTGGGTGGCTCAGTCATTTTAAGTGTCCCACTATTTATTTCTGCCCAGGTCATGATCTCAGGGTTCATGAGATCGAGCCCCGCGTCGTCTTTTGTGCTCTACTGACAGCATGCAGCCTGCTTGGGAAATTCTCCCTGTATAAACAAAGAAACAAAATCAACTTAAAAAAAAAAAAAAAAAGCATCACTATCTCTCTTTTTTTTATGTTTTATTTATTCCTAGGAGAGAGAGAGAGAGAGACAGCGTGAGCAAGGGAGGGTCAGAGAGAGGGAGTCACAGACTGAAACAGGGTCCAGGTTCTGAGCCGGCAGTCAGCACAGAGGCCAACGCGGGGCTCGAACCTACGAACCGCGGGATCATGACCTAAGCGAAAGTCGGACGCTTAACCGACTAAGCCACCCAGGAGCCCCGAAAGCATCACTATCTTAGAGTTCCTTTGAAGGCAGGAGCCATTCCTACACGGTCTCCAGCACCCTGGACAGTGTCTGGCACAGGTCATGCTCCAAGAAAGACAAAATGAAATGATTCAACTCTTTTAACAACGTCTCTTCATTATTGGTATTATATCACTATTATTGCTATTTATAATAATGTTGTCTTTTCCATAATTATTGTTAAAATATTAACTATTGCTAGTATTGTTAAAATTTCTTTCTCAGGAGTTTTGGTCTTTTATTTCCTTTTGTATTTTAATTTTTTCTTCCGCTTTTCTCATTTTTTAAAAAGTTTATTTATTTTTAAGTAATCTCTACAGACAACATGGGGGCTTGAAACTCACAACTCCAAGATCGAGTCACATGCTCTTCCAACTGAGCCAGCCAGAACCCCTGCTTGACTCATTAAACATACATTTATCATACTCTTTTCTCAACTTTAGAACTAGTCTAAGCACTGGGAATAAAGTGATGTGTTAGATATTGTGTTGCTTTCAGATAAGCTACCTTTCATGAATAAGATTTTTTTCTTCAATTATTTTGTGGTTTAAGACCAGCAGACTATTTGAACTGAAAAACTCTCTTTTCACAAACAACCAAAAATATATTTCTCCCTTACCCAATTCCTCCTCCCACACTTTTCACTCTTGTCTAATCTTGTTTTTGATCAAGATTCCCTTCACCTTAATTAGCATATAACAAATTAAGTTCTTTTTTCATTGTTAATAAAGAAATGAGAGAATATTTTTTCTTAGTTTATTGTCAAGTTGGTTCCCATAAAACACCCAGTGCTCATCCCAACAAGTGCCCTCCTTCTTGTCCATCATACCCCTTCCCCTCCCCCCACCCCCATCAGCCCTCAGTTTGTTCTCAGCATTCAAGAGTCTCTCATGGTTTGCCTCCCTCCCTCTCCTCCACTATTTTTCCCCTTCTTCTCCCCCATGGTCCTCCATTAAGTTCCTCCTAATCCACTTTCTGTTATCTGGTATCTGTCTTTCTCTGCCTGACTTATTTTGCTCACCATAACACCCTCAAGTTCCATCCATGTTGCTACAAATGGCCAGATTTCATTCTTTCTAGAAATGAGAGAATATTAATGTTAACATGAAAATGAGAACTTCCTCCTCACATTTTTTGAGTTTATGTGGGCTATCCATGACACTTTAATAAAATAATAGCATTATGCTGGCCAAAGAAGACAAATTAACCTAATTAAAATCTTAAATCAGAAGTTACTTTCTATAATTTAATATTACAGTGTTGTGTGTTTTACAAGGTATTTATTATACTCTTCCAGATCATGGAATTCCATTGTACTAATATATTTTTAAAACACTGAAACAAGTTAAATCTATTGGATGAGATAGCATTGATAATGTAGCCAAAGGAACTGGGAAGCTGAGAGATAAGAATCTTGAATTCCAGTTTCTATACTGGGCCCATCCAAATGACTATGGATCAGTTCCTCTCCCTTGTCCCACAGTACAATTGTTCAGCAAGCTCTATCAATTTTTGAATCCCTCTTCATTTAGTTCTCTTCCATCTCCCACTGCTCTTGCTTTATTTCAAGGCCCTGCCTTGACGGGCGCAGAAGCATCCTAATTGACCCTCCTGCCTTTGTCCCTCATTCAAATTCATCTTGTATAAAACTGATCAAGTCATATCTGCAAAACGTAAATCCCATCACTTCCCTCTCAATATAAACAACAACAGAAAGCCACCAAAAACTTTCTACCATTCAGGGGATGAGAATTAAGTTCCTTACTTATGCCCTTATCAACCTGGCACCAGCTTACCTTATGTCTAACCAAAGAGTCCACGACATTATGCTGTGCCACATTAAATTTTTCTATCTCTAATAATCTTATTTTAGTTCATGCCTCATTTTATTTTCACAAGTAGATCTCTCAACTTGGAAGGTTCCTTCTCTTCCATACCACCAGGACAACTCCTTTTTCTTTTAGACCCAATTAAAATATGATTTTCTTTGAAGTCTCCCTGTCTTTCTCAGGTATAAATAACTTCCTCCCTGTTCAAACAGCATTTTGTATATAATGTTTTTATTATAGCCTTTCTTAAATCACTCCCCTTGAAGGCAATAGCTACATACTAAGTATAGAATAGGTATCACCAAGTGCTTGTTAAATGAATAAATGGATGACTGGCAACTTCACAAAGTCTTGATTTCTTAGTCTATCAATCTGGAAGAATTATTATAAGTGATTTCAAATATCCTATCTGGCTCTAACCTTTCATGTCTATAGCAGTTAGACATATTGATTTAAATCAGATGTGAGATAATTCCTACTTTACAACCTACAGACCTGACTTTCTCAATGTCATAAGAATATTGCACAGTATACCAGAAAAGTATATACATGTAAAAAATACCTGGCAGTTTTTTTGTGAATTCTACGAGAATCTGTACATGACTGGTAGCCATTTCAGTTAAAATGAGAAAATTTTCTTCTGCACTGAATTCTTCTTTTAACTAAATTTTAAGAAGAAAAGCATAAGATTAATAAGTAGATAAAAGGATAAATCAACACAAAATCATTAGACTAAAGAATCAGAGTTAGATAATATAATTTAAGATCCAGTTAATATTTTTCAGTTCCAATTACTATTACCAAGATAGATATGAAACTTCTTATTCTTTGTTTAATGCTGCTAAAAGTTTAAAGGTATAACTTAAATTATCAGCTCTAATTATTTCAAAGTAACAAATTCATGTATAAATTCTACCCCCAAGGTACTAAAAGCTCCAGAAAATATTAACTTTCAACCTATGTAATTTTAGATATTTGTACATACAATTTTATTTGTTATTTCCTGAGGCATCCTCTGTTTGCTATATGAATCCATAATATAATGAAGAAGTTGCTGTTGATCTGGGGTGAGTTCAGTTTTCTCCTACACTGGCAAAAAAATAAAAGGTATTAGGGAGGGTGGTTATAAGGCACTTTTTCTATATGTACATTCATCTGGAGTAAACTAATCTCAGAAATTATTGATAAAAGTCCTAAATATAGCAGGAACTATGCACTCTGATACAGTGTGCACTGTAAGGGCTTACTCTGGGTCCTTGGTCAAGCCATATCATGGTTAATTAAATGGGTCCCAATTGTTCATTTTTATATCTGTAAAACCAGGATAACAAAATTTTCATTTCATCTATATCTTGGGAATAAATAATAGTCTAGTTTTGAACCTTATCAACCCCATTAATAGGAAAGTTCAGTGAAAGTTCAAGGTTTAGTCACTAAGGAAAAGTTCCCACATATAAAATAGAGAATCCATTTAAGGGCATCATATAGAGGAGGAGTTGACAAACTATGGCCAACTACCAAATCCACCAGGTTTTGTGACTCTTTTGAAACAAAACCACACACATTTGTTTATATGTTGTCTACACTACTTCTGCACTAAAATAGCAAAGTTGAGTAGTTGTCATGGAGGTCTTGTAGCCAAAGCCTGAAATATCTTTACAGAAAAAATAATGTTTACCTAGCTCTGAAGTAGAAAGTCATCAATCTGGACAATTCAGACCCCAAATATCACTTTCTCCCTTACTAGCATCTTTTGAAGAGTGTGGATAATTGTGTCAACTCTGTGCTTCCTTATACCAAAGTGTTATGAATGAAGTACTATGGCAAAATAATACTTTGATATAAAGTTTTTTTTCTCAAATGAGTGCAAAATACTATACTTGGAAAACTAAATGTGGACATTTTCCTTGTTAGTAGTACATAAATATTAAGAAGTGAGTGACTTAAATTAATTGTGGATTTTTGTTTTACCAACTAATGGCAAATTAAAGTTCCTCCACATACCCTGTAGATTATCACAATGTGTTTAGTTAATCACCCAAGATGCTGTTCCTCTTTTGTCTCAGATTGTTCAAAGGATTTCTTGCATAAGAAACTTGTGAGCTCATTGGGAAAGGCTTTTCTCTGTTGTTCCACAGATGTGTATCCACCCAATTTTACCCACTGATAGGGACTAATCCACAAACCTCTACTGAGTACATCTCCTTCCCACTTTATGCCTCCCTTCTCAATGATAGGGAAAAGAAAAAGGTCATCAAAACTCAACCTGAAAAACCCATCTTATACTTTGAACTATGTCTACTGGCAACCTCTTGGTAGTAGGAGTGGAATGGAGCCAGGTAAGTGGAGCACTTTTATCTTTTTACCTTATTTACTGCTATTATTTGAATTTCTAGACCAAAGCAGATATTACGTTCTTGATTAAAAAGAAAACCATTTAAAGCACAATTGAAGTGAAATTCTGCTTGTGGCTGTGGCTCTAACTTTAAAGCCTCCCACTCAGATCACTGATGTGGAGAACAAAGGCAAAAGAAATATAGAAAAAATTAAATTTCCTTTGCAGCCCATTGACAAGTACTTGGGAAGGCAGAGTGACCTTCTTCCAGGAACTCAACTGCCTCCATGTTAATACTTCACTAGAGGCAAAAGGCAACCTTAGCTTGACATTAGCCCAACTTCCAAGATCCTGTAAGTCTTCTTTAACATATAAAAATCCCTTTGGAAACTTTCTTTACCCATCCCCTAAGATACATGTTAGCAATCAACCTCCAAGCATTTGTCCACTGATATACATCTGAAGGGTCTCATGACAAGGGTTTACTGGACAATATAAATGACCCCTGAAGATCCTGGATACCTTGCTTCCAAATCCTTAGAGACTTACACTATCTCTAACCCCCTCGCAACTTGAAAGTATATAATCAGTCATTCCTCATAATCTCAGTGCATGTCTTTCTGCCCACAGGTCCTGTCCCCTTGTTTTAATAAAACCATCTTTTTTGCACCAAAGATGTCTCAAGAATCCTTTGACTGTTCACTCCCAAACCCCAACATTTCACATTAATCACTACATGCCAGAAGTTCAGCTCTTGCTGGCTTTAGTAGACACCATTGCATGGTATTACCCTGAATGACTTGGTGGTAGAGGTCACTTGTCGCAAATCTCGACCTTCGCTGTCTTCATTAATGGTCTGATCTGCATGCTGCTTCACGTTTTTTCTTAGTCGTTTAGATTTACACTGAATTTCAGTTAATAAGCCTGACAAAATAAAAAACCGAGAATTCACCACAAAGTCCTGGTAGGTGTGTGGTCATGAGGTAGCTGATGTGTAGTCTGCTCACATCTGTGCAATTCGGCACAGAGCTAATTCTAGCCCTTTTGAATTTTAAGATTTGGGCTTGAAAAAGAAATTTATCCCTCTGTGAGTCTCACTTTCTTCACTTGTAAAATAGAAGTAATATCTACCTGAAACAGTTTCGTTTAGATGAAGTATAATTGGAGTTTTTTTTAAACGTAATTTATATAAAGAATTTGTAATACTAAAGCATTGTACAAATGCAAGGTATCAGTCAATAAAAAGGGGAACAACACTCTCCCTATTCCTGGTCCAGGGGACCCTGAAAGCTAGTCTTTCACAACATAATATTATTTCTCACCCATGTTTATATAACTGTACCATAAAAAGCATAGTCAATTTCACATTAAACACACATAAGTAAACACCTGCTGTGTAAAACAAATGTCAACATCATTCAGGGAATTTTTATATCTTGCTAATTTTCAGAACTCTATACATTAGTAAGAATATAGAGATGAAAATAACTCAAGAGGACTTTGGAATTTTCTTTTGAATAATTATGCAATATCATCATTAATCTACACTTAACAAAGCTATAAAAATATAATGCAGAACAATCTTCCATAGTTCCATTTAACTTCCTTATTCTCTCCATGTTAATGAGAAATTCCAGGAATTTCTTTGTCCATAGCATTTATTTTACAAGATCGGATGAAAGTTCTTCATCCATTACTGGACAAGTTTGTGTTCATAAATGATATTATAAACTTCTATAGGTGGAGTCTTGAAAAATGTCTTCAGTGCTTCCATTGGAACAGGTTCATATTTAAGTGATGAGCAACACGAACCATCCAGTATCAAAGTAAGCATTTCCATTGCAGATTGGATTCCAGCAGTCATCCCTCTTGCAGTCTCTTGTTTCATATGCTAAGAGGAGATAGCGATCATCTGCTATAAAACTTTCATCCACCCAGAGCTGGATTATTTACACTGACCTATTTTTCCCCCTCATGCACACATTATTTCTCTGGGTCCATCCCAGTTGCCTGTACAGTTTAGGAACAATAGAATTGGAGTCACCTTCCACAGGCTTTTATTCCATGTGGCATTCCCTCCCTGAATGTAATCATCCCCTTGGTGACATTTGTTTGTCATTTGTGTTTTGAGGAGGAATGGGCCATATCTCAAAATCTGAGTGGTCTGTAGAATTTGCAGAATGAAAAATTAATACGTTATATACTAGCATGCATTCCAAATTGATGAAGATTATGGTTCCTCACAAAGCCAGCAGTTAATACAGTGTCTCTTTATCAGATCGAAGGGCCAAATTATATTAAAACTCACAGTAGTTAATTTCCTGTGTAAACCTATACAAGTTGGTTCAAAGCTGCACTAAGAGAAGAAGGACTACTAATAAAATGACTTGGTTTAAAACTCTATTTAGACAATTCAGAGGCAGTTATACCTTAAAAGCATTCTTAATCTTTCACACAACTGTGAATGTTTATGTTAATTAAACAGTAAGAAAGATATTAAATCAAATTTGGAGAAAACTTTTAGACTGTTGTCATTCTTGGAAGCTTATTAAAACATGTTATTTTCACTGTAGATTAATGCCACCTCACTCCACATATGATTCCTTGCAACAATGAATAACAAAAAGCTGCTTCTTTCAGGTAAATAAAATACTCTTTAGCTGACAATTTGGACAACTTCAGTGGTTCATTACCCTTTTCAAGATCTTTGATGGCTTAGTAAATCCCTTCTTTAATATGTGAAGTACCATTCTAATCATGTGAGTTACCTGCCATCTGCCTCCTTAGATTTTTAGTGGAATTTAATTTTTGATGTGAATACCTGTATACATACATTCAGCCAACATTCCCATCTCTTTGCATTTCCTTAGGCGACATTCTTGGCACTTTCTTCGCATATACATGTCCATCACACAGTTGCCCCCATTTTTACACTTGTACACAGCATTTTTGGTAATGCTTCTCCTGAAGAAACCTGTGGAAGAAACACAGAAAGGAATAAAAATGTTCCTAACAACTTCCACTCAGAAAAACACATTAGGATTAAGGGATGCCAGAGCATTTTCTCAGGAAGCCCCGGGGAACACCCAGTCAGTCCTCAGGTAGACTGGTGACAAAGATACCTTCAATTGCACTTTGTTGTCCGGAAGACTGCTGTTTTCAATTTCTCTCTCAAAGATAAAGACATAGTTGAACTGTAGCCTCTCTTAGGGAAAATCTTGCTTTGTTTTTTAAGAATGGTTACTTTCATTATATCTTTATTGGGAGACTATTGTGTGCCAGTGAGCTCTAGATGCTGGTGGTACAAAGGCGAATAAGTCATCCCTGCCCTCTTGGGGTTTACAGCCTGGTGGAGGCCAAAGCCATGCAAACAATCAAACAAGTGAAATTAGGTGTTCCTGGGCTGTGCTGGGGCAGAGGAAGCAGGGAGAATGGTTAGTGCTGGGTGAAGAGATCAGACTTGGAAGCAAGTGCTATGCTAATCCTTGCAAAATGAGTTGCTATTTACCAGGCTGACTGGAAGAGGTCACATTCAAGGTGTCAGTTCAGTACTTAATATGCCCAGCCTGGTACAGTAATAACAAATGCCAAACTTGATTTAAAAGCAAACATCTCCCCTGAGAGAGGGTAGCCACCGCTGCCAGCCTGCATCAGTTAAGGTGGGGAGGGAACACAAGTGTCTTTCTTTCAGTTTCTTTTTTTTCCCACTTTCCACTTCTACTCCTTCTCCTCCACCTAGCTAGCCATAATTTCTGACATTTCCAGACTCAAGGTGGAGTGGTAAATAAGGAGAGGATTTGGAGAGGCATGGGAAGAAGTGACAGGAAAGTGCTTACTTGGCTGGCTTGTGCCCTGCAAGTTTCTAAAATTGACTTCTCTCTTGGAGTTGGATTCTTTAGAGAATGCCCACCACTGCGATACAATCCTTTGCAAGTCTTCAATGAGGACAAATACATCTCTATTCTAGCTTGTGGCTTGTATGCCCTTTACCACCATCCTCTTTACTCTGAGTGCCTCCATGTTGTCTTCTTGTCATGAGCTTAAAACACATGCCAGCCCTTTTTTTTTTTTTTTTGGTCCAGCAAACTGTGGGGAGGAGAAATCTCTCCCACTTATCCTTAAGCAGTCAGTCACCATATCTCCTGCCCTTTCAACTTCTCAGGTGAAAGTCAGATGCCAGTCTTCTGTGTCCCTCAGCTGTAGGGGATACATATCAACCTCCTCAAGTGATCCTGTTGAAGACCCTTTCATTGGGCCTGGAGCAGGAGGGCCTCCTTACTATATAGATTACACCTGAGAAGGGTGGGACACGTTCTTCTAATTCTCACAAAAGTACCATAATTTCCATGGTGGTCCCCAGAACAGACATCTATATCCCATGCCCGCCCCTTTGCAATAGGGAGTGGGATCTGTAGCACACTAGTCACATGCTCCAAAATCTTTAAAGACTATGCTCCAGAATTTCTAACTCCTGCCCACTTTGCACCCTCAAAGTAGGTGAGGTTTTAACTATTTCTTGACTACTGATTGCAAGATGGGCTCACTTTGGATGTAGCAGCTAGTTTCATCTGACTGCCAAAACTGAGACAGCAAGAGTCCTTTCTATTTTAACAGGCTGTTGGAATATTAGCCAACATTTATTAAGTACTTGCTAGTTTTTGTTCTAACTATTTCACCTGTATTTAGTTATTTAAACTCCATACCAATTTTATGAAGGAGATAATATTATATGTCCCCATATTACAGAACATGGGGAAAATGCACAAAGAAATTAAGCATTTTGGCCATGAGCACATGATGAATAAGTGGATTAGGAGGGTTCAAACCCAGGCAGCCATGGACCAAAGGTCACACTCCTAACCACTATACCATAATTGTCTCCCTTGGGTCACAAGAGAGGAGAATAACAATATTAAGTACCTACTATCTGAAAGCTGTATTCTTTAACTTGGGAGACATCCAGATGAATTCCTTGTCCTCAGGGCTTCCAATTTAGAAGAGAGAAAAGTACATTTACAGCATAATATAAGATAGAGTGATAGGGTAGCTAAGTAAGTGATAAAATATTGGAATGTAGATGAAAAAGTGATCATTTCAAGGCCACATTATATGCTTATGAATGTGGTGCCACATTCAGGGGAGGCAGCAATTCCATCACAGACATGGAGATTTGCACATTTGTTATGACAATTTTTCCAGAAGAAGGCAATAAAAATTGTTCTAGTGAAATAAATATGACAATGTCTCAACATCTAGAAATTGAATATCTTGAGGAAAAGACATTATAGGGGCTAGGAATAGCTGGGACTAATTCCAGGTAGAGGATATCAGAGAACTCATGAAGGAAGTAGAATTTGAGCTGGTTGTTGGAGAATAAGTAGAGTTTTGAAACATGGACTGTGAGGGAGGAAGCACATTCTGGGAAATGGGAAAAGGCAGCGAGTTATGGAAATTCGAGGGAAGAGTGGATAGACTATTTTCGTGGGAGGGTGGAGCATAGGAAGAATTAGTGAAAGGTGGGTGAAGGCATAGAGTAGAACAGAATATAAAGGCCCTTCAATGCCAGGCAAGGGAGTTGAGTCTTTGTCATGCAGAAAGAGAGAAGCAATTAGAGTGTTTTGGCAGAAGAGGGTGTGACCTAATCTGCATGTTGGGAAAAATCCTTGGTGCAAGGTGAAGAAAAGTGAACAAGCCCAGAGGTGATTGGTGCCTGAACTGGCTGGAGGATGGGAATAGGGAGGAGGAAAAGGAGGAACTCAGGACTTGGTAACTAACTCAACAAGAAAAAAAAAAAAAAAAAAAAACAGAGGCTAAAGGAAAAGTTAGAGATAGCAAGGTTAAAAAGAGTCATAGACTTGCTTGTGAAATTGTCAGCTGGTGTAACTTTCAGTAGGAAAGATTTTACCATTTTCCTAAATGTCAAATCCAACCACACAAAATCTAAAAAAAGATTTTTGTGCTTCAGATCAACGTTGATATTGGGAGTGCAAATACCAAAGCATGCATTTTAAAACAGACTCTAGACCAGGGAAGGAAGGAAGGAAGGAAGGAAGGAAGGAAGGAAGGAAGGAAGGAAGGAAGGAAGGAAGGAAGGAAGGAAGGAAGGAAAATTTTATTTTCTGGTACCAAATAATTGAGCTCAATGACCATATTAGTCAAACTGAGTCAGTCTTCCCACAAATATTCAGCCCTCCCAGGAATGATTCAATTTGAAACCACCATAGATACTGAAAGCTCAATAGTTAACAGAAATAAACCTCCTTATTCCAAGATGAATCAAAGGAACAGTGCTAGGACAATTCTGCAGGGTTATTTTTTCTTTTTCTTTTTTTTTAAAACTCTGATATTAACTGAGAAAGAAATCATTATCATCTCAATAGCTGAATTAATTAGCTTTCACTCTTAGGTGGCAACACAATACTATCATTATATCACTTAAATATGGGTACACATACTGTATTTATACTTATGCAAATCTATCCATAGACATCCTCTGCCTCTATCTTGTGCATATTTAACAATGCCCAGAAAAGTCATTTGGAAATCAATGGAAAGGAAATTCACTGAGGAACAGAGGCTTCCTGGTAATGAAAGACGAGTAGACAGAGCTGGCATTGCCATCTGAGAAATGTGCAGTGCTGGGGGAATTCCTGGAGAATGTCTATAGGATAGTAAGATGGATCCCTCAAATATGCATAGCAATCCTCATTCTGCTTCTCTGCTTCTTTATACAGATATAACTCACATTCCATACCCTACTCACAACTCATATACATATGTGTAAGTAGGCACACATATGGTCACAACCACACATGCACATGTACACATCAGACTCCAGTGAATGGCAGTAGCTACCCATTACTCTGAAATCAATAAAATATTGGCTGTTTAAAACTTTGAGGGTCCCCACACTTTTTACACAGCAACAAATGCACAGAGCTGAATTGCTAGTTATCTTTACGTTCAATATAGCCTAAATAGAGTCAGCCTTTAGGTCTATCTAAGAACATTGTAGAATAATAAGGACTCCCCCATCCACTTATATAGAACTTACCTTGTATCAGGCACTGTTCTAAACACTTTGTTTATGGTGATTCATTTACTATTCCTAACAATCCTGTGAAGTAGATTCTATTATTATCTCCCTCTTGTAGCTAAGGAGACTGAGTTACACAAAGATGAAGCATTTGCTCAAGGTTGTACGGATAATAAATGGTGGAGTTTAGATGTGAACCTGATAGGCTCAGTTCCAAACTATGTGCTCTTAACTCCTACATTAGGCTGTCTTTCTAGTAAGGAGTTTTATTGCTGAAAATGGTCTTTAGACATTAATCTCCCCAAATCCCACACCAAGTGTTAAGTGCTCCACAGTTTCTCTATATCCAAAACTGTTCAAAACACCCTACTTTCCCTCGTCCAGCCCAGGCATCTTTTCCACCACAGACTATTAGAAAACTGCAATTGCCACAGACTAGAGAGGAAGGAGCCAATATATAAAGGTAAGCTTTGGTCTCCATCCCACAATTTCTTATGCTTAAAGATCTCAGCTCTTCTCCTTGAGCTGCTTGTTGAAATTTTTATGACTTGATAATAGAGTCCTGATCACCTGGCAGGAGCTGTTTCATACTATTATTTTCGAAAAGGCAACCCTCAAACTTCTGAAATGATGTTGATGAAAATTTTTTTAAAGTTTTTCTTTTAATTCAATAGTTAGCATACAGTGTTATATTAGTTTCATGTGTCTAATACAGTGAGTCAACACTTCTATACATCACCCAGTGCTCAGCACTACAAATGCACTCCTTAATCCCCAATTTCACCCATTCCCCCACTCCCTCCCTTTTGATAACCTTCGGTTTGTTCTCTATAATTAAGAGTCTGTTTCTTGGATTCTCTCTTTTTCCTTTTGATTAGTTGTTTTAGTTTCTTAAATTCCACATATGAATGAAATCATATGGTATTTGTCTTTCTCTG